AGATGTCCCCAGTGGCGCCTTTTGTTTGTGTCGCTTTGCTGCTGTGTGCCGCAGATGCAGCAGAAGCAGCAGCATCCACAGCAGCTGAGGCGGCAGCAGCAGCAGCAGCTGCTGCTGCATCTGCTGCTGCTGCTGCTGCTCCTTCTGCTACCGAGACAGCCAATACCGGCACGGATGTCTCTACAGGTTCAGCAGCGAACAGCGAGACGCCAGAAGCAGCAGCAGCTGCAGCAGCAGCTGCTGCTGCTGCTGCTGCTCTCAAGGCCAAGGCTGCAGCAATTGCAGCAGCATTCGACATGCGCAGCAGTGTCTTCGGTGTGATAGCAGCAAGGAACCCTTTCCTGCTGCACCTGCTGCTGCGTGTTGCTGCTTCCTCTACAGACAGTGAAGCGCTGCAGCGACACGAGCAGCTGCTGCTGCAGGCAAGTCTACACTGCAGCAGCAACTGCAGCAGCAGCTGCAGCAACAACTGCAGCAGCAACTACAGCAGCAACTGCAGCAGCAACTGCAGCAGCAACTGCACCAGCAACTGCACCAGCGCCTACAGCACCAACTACAGCAGCAACTGCAGCAGCAACTGCAGCAGCAACTGCAGCAGCAACTGCAGCAGCAACTGCAGCAGCAACTGCAGCAGCAACTGCAGCAGCAAATGCAGCAGCAAATGCAGCAGCAACTGCTGCAGCAACTGCAGCAGCAACTGCAGCAGCAACTGGCGCGTGTGTGTTTGTTTGTCCCCTTTTTCTTCAGATTGTGAAGCAAATCAACAATTTGTATCATGAGGTGTATCCGCAGCTCGTCGAGGTGAGGCAGCAGCAGCAGCTGCTGCTGCGCGTGCTGCTGTACCTGCAGCAGCAGCTGCTGCAGCAACTGCAGCAGCAAAAGAAGCAGTTGCAGGCAGCACAGCATCTGCAGCAGCGGCAAGACTATTGTTTGCTGCCTTCGTCTGTATGTGTGTTGCTGCAGCTGCTGCAGCCTGAACAGAAGCCTCTGCTGCTGGCGCTGCTGCAGCATCTAGCAGCAGCAACAGCAGCAGCAATGCAGAATGGAGAACCCCTACCAGAGCAGCTGCTGCATGCGGCCTGGGCTGTCTTTGAGCGTCATAAGGATTTCTCCCTCGTAGCACCTTTGCTGCCTTTCTTCACTGGGTTCGTATGCAGCAGCAG